GGACTTGTTAGAAAATAAAGTTTAGGATGCTGTTTTTAAAGTTAGCCAGCTAACGTATTTTTCTTTCTTACTATCGAGTTCAGTGTCAATTTATTTCAAATGTCAATTACTGCATCATTTTAATTTTGCAGTCTTAATTACACATTTATTCTTCTGCTCCTAGGATATCATCGTACAAAACAGTGAAGGAGAATTTTGCTTCAGGTTACATCCAGAATACTTAACTCCTTTGGAAGATATTTAGATATTATCAATAAATTTGAACAACACTCCTTATTCCTATCACAGTGTCTTTACACTCAGTAAATTTTGTGGTAACCTACATGGTCATCTGTTCTATTGGCTATGCACAAGTTCAGGGATGCCAAAAATAACATTGAGCTAGGCATTTGGACATTTATCTTTTAAGGTTAGAAACAAACGTAATGGCCAAAGCCAATTTTGTTATGTATCACTAAATTGAAATAGCTATTTTTCAAACATTTCTCAAACCAAATCTTGTATGGAGACCCAATATATAAAAACAGTGCTGCACAGGGGCACCTGGGTGGTGCAGTTGGTTAAGCGTCTGCCTCTTGGTTTCTACTCAGGTCATGATCTCAGGGTCATGAAATAGAGCCCCATGTCAGGCTCCACGCTCAGCGCAGAGTCTGCTTGAGGCTCTCTCCCTCTGCCCCCGCCCTCCATGTGCTCTTTCTCTCAAATAAATAAATCTGTAAAAAAAACAAAGCAGTGCTGCGCTGGCTGAAGGAGGGAGAAGATGCTGGACCCTTGCTCTTGTGAGTCACCTTCTCAGAACCTGACATCTCTATCAAATACAGTTTTAAAACCACCAAGCTAAACCAAAGAACTTTTATTTTTTTATTTTTTTTTAAGATTTTATTTATTTATTTGAGAGAGAGAGCATGCGTACAAGTAAGGGGAGAGGCAGTGGGAGAGGGAGAAGTAGGCTCCCCACTGAGCAGGGAGCCTGATAACAGGGCTCGATCCCAGGACCCTGGGATCATGACCTGAGCCGAAGGCAGACGCTTAACCGACTGAGCCATCCAGGTGCCCCTAAACCTGGGTTTATTTTTTTTAATTTTTTTTTATTATGTTAATCACCATACATTACATCATTAGTTTTTGATGTAGTGTTCCATGATTCATTGTTTGCGTGTAACACCCAGTGCTCCATGCAGTACCTGCCCTCTTTAATACCCATCACCAGGCTAAC